CCCCCCGCCCCCCCCCGCCCCCCGGCTCCCTCCCCAGCCTGTACTGCCTGTACATTTTCCGTCTTCCCTTTGCCTCCACAGATACTCTTTTCTTTACTAACGAATATATATATATATATATAAATACACACACATATGCACACAGTGGAAGGTTTCTTTATGAGCTTCTTACTGTGCTCCTGAGGCTGCTCCCGAACTCTTTGGTTATGGTCCCTGTTTTCAGCGTACGGTGTTATTACTTCATCTGCTTTTCGGGGGGGGGGATGGGCGGGGAGGGAGAGTTGGTCTTTCTTTTTCGCTGGTGAGACTTCAGAAGATGATGGGGTCTCTAGTGTCAGTCTAGCGTAGCTACTTACACGTTTGAGTTGACGTTGGCGGTGCTTGCTGTAGCCTATGGACGTGTGACGGCACCCAGAGCTGTGCGTGCTTCAGAGTACTTACTTTTCTCACCGTTCTTCCTTTGATGCTCCCACTTCTTTCGCTTTGCTTGTCCTGGCTCCCCTTTGCAATCCTGCATCCCTGTCCTCGGGGTAAGGCGTAGTTTTCACCCCATGTTATTTGGAGGCAGGACACATATGAGAGCCAAGCCGACAAGCACGCATGGGTTCACCTGCAGGCTACTCTCTTTGCAACATGGCAGGGTCTGGACAAGCTGTTTTTCATACTAAATTGAGGGAATCACACAAGCGCGCACACACACACACACACGGTCCTCTTTTTTAACAGATGAGCAACTGGAAGTGGGGATAATTCTGCTGTATGGGATTCACATTCCCAGGGGCCTTTGAAAGCACTCTTTTGACAATCCCCACAAGCAAAACCTTTGGACGATAGCTCAGGAAGCTCTGTGAGCCGGCTGTGTTTGTCGTTGTTTGTGTTCAATAAATGTCTGTGCAGCTCTGCTATCGATGGGCTCCGACTGTTCTTCTCCTGGGTCACCCCACCATCTCCAGCCCTATCCTTCCCTCTGCACCTTTCTGCACCTTTTTAGCTGCTTGGAGGGAAGATGGGGGTTGTCTACAAACACAATTTTATTATTATTTAATTTTATTTTATTTAGAGAAAGTCTCCATCCACTTCCTGAGTGATTCTAGGCTTTCTTTTTTTTAAAGAGAGGGTACTTGGCTTGCACAATGCTTTGGGTTTCCCTAAGATTGATTTACAAGTTACAGTACAGCAATGAACATCTCTCACTGCCCCCTTGTCTGGACATATCTGCCATGTCTGTGCCCCATGCCCTTCCCTAGGACCCTCTATGCCCAGACCTGTCTTCTGCTTCCAGGCTTTACTGCTGTCTCCTCCTTCTCGGGCAGGGAAACAAATATATTTTCCATCAGTTAATTTCCTACTGTTCAAAATGTATGGTACGTGTTTTACCCATGTTGCAACTGAGGGATTCATGACATACCATGTCCCCCTGCAGCTAAAGCAGCCACACAATAGTTTTGCACTGTACCACATGGGAAATATATTGTTTTTCCCAGGTGAGCCCCAAGACTTCCCGGCCTTTCCTGCTTTTTCTCCCCTCGTGCTGGCAGACACCGCTGGCAGCTCCTCTCCCTCTTCCTGCCTAGACCACTTCTCCTGGCTCTGCATGCTGACTGCCTTTCATGTGGTCCAACACCTGAACATGTCCAAGAGCATCCCCTTATTCCCTGTCTGGGGGAGCGCAGGTGCTTTGGGCAGTGCTATGAGGGCTCAGGTGGAGCCAGGAACCTTCCCCAGGGAGGGGTAGCAGCCCCTCCTTGTATTTGTGCTAATTCTGGGGAAAGGAGGGAGCCCAGGCAACAGATGCTGTCTTCTCCCAAGTTGCCAATTGACCACAGCAAGCACAGAGCCACCTTGCCAAGTCGGCTGTGGGCAACCGGCACTCCTCATCCTCTCCTGCTCTTCACCCCAGTCTAGCTCAAGTATTTTTCTTGTTTAAAGAACAGAGTATCTGTGTGTGAAGCCCAGCATGAAAATAACCACCCGTCAGCATGCCAGAGCCACCGCAGCAGCCTGGGCACTGAGCAGGGGCACGTGCCAGCCAGCAAAAGCACCACATCCCACTGCCACCCTCCTCAGGCAAAGCGATGGCAGCCGGTGGCCTGGGGTGATGTCCCCCTCGAAGAGGGATGGGACGTGGACAAAGCCAGCCCATCCTGCTGTGGCTCAGCCTTCCCTGTAGGGCTACAGGACAAACCAGAGGATAAGCAAATCCTGTAGGTGATGGAGGCATAGGGAGAGCAGCTGAGGTGCATGACAAGAGCCGCCTGCCTCTTCTCACGCCACTTTCTCGGCATGCAGGAGCGCTTTAAAGCTCTGGCACACAGGATGCAGTCAGAAATCAGGAGCGGTGTCATGTCAACCAAGACAGGGAAACCCATCACGGGCCAATGTATTTCTGGGGTTTGTATGTCTGTCAGGTGCTTATGTTCTGAGGAAGGCATGGGGCCTTAATGGTGTGCTAATCACAACCAATGTGGAAATGACTTTGCACAGGGACCCATGCTTTCTGCAGATCGTCGCTGCCTTGAATTTCTTTTCTGTGTGTGTGCTGCGCTCCCCACGCTATTCCCCATCTCCACAGGGACAGTGCTGCCTGAAATAGCAAATGCCAGATTGGGTCTGCCAGATGCAACCGAGCTCAGAGGCTACTGGAGAGGAGGAGCAGGCTGTAGCGGTACACCCCAACCCATGCCAATGAACTTGCAGATAACATCCCCTTCTGGGTACCATCCCCATCCCAGCGTGCCGCAATATGTCCCTCGCCCATCAAGACTGTGCTGCCGGTAAAGCTGCCACAGGAATCGATGGTGAAGGGGGACAGAGGTCAGATACGAGCATCACTCTGGCACTAGACAGGTATCCGAGCTGTTGTGTCAAGCCACACACTGCAGCAAGGACCTGGGCTCGTGGGGAACTATGCACAGGGCCGTGGGGGTGGCAAGGGATGTTCCTGGCTTCAGGGGAGCTTCACAAATCTTCCGTCACCTAGAGAAAAAGTAATGGGGCTCAGGCAGTGGTTATTAAGGACTGTTGCTGAAGTGGTGCCGTCCTGCAGGTCAGAGCACAGGGCTGGGTTTTCCTTTCTCCCCATGACATTTCAGCTTGCATTGTATGAATGGTGTCTGTTTGTGTGATCCTTAAATTTCAAGGTGTTTCCAAGGGACTTGAGGAAGCAAAGGAGCCTCAGCATACCAAATCAAAGCACAATTCTGCTTTTGGTCTGATATAGGATGCTTTTTTGTTTTAGCTCTCTGGAGACCATTTATAACAGAAAAAAGCGACTTGAGCAATTCTAGCTGCGAAATGCCAGCCCTCCTGCAAATGAAGCTGGGGGTTTCTCAGACCAGGCATGCAAAAAATCATAAATCTATACTGAGCAAAGGGGGGAAAATGGAAATTAAACTCTAATGTTCTGTGTGAATCTAGCAGCTTATCCGTCATCATTCGGGCTTCAGCAAGGCCTGGAGGTGCTTTACAATTGCAGCATCTCCTGGGAACATGTTGATAACAACAGGATCACAAGGAATGTGTCAAACTTGGCTTTGATTTCATCAGTACAGCTCCAAAGATTTCCCGATTTGTTTGGAAGGTGCCTCAACGTATTGCTTTTACTTGTGGTATGTCTTGGGTTTGCATTTTAGATTAACTAAAAATACTCCAGTGATGCATCCACAGCCATGCCACTGGGAAAAGATATATGCACATCTCTAATATTGAAGTGAATATTCAATACAAGGTGAACATCCCAGTTAATCAGCAGAACAGCTTTAGTGCATTGCTTTGAGAAAGAAAAGCAATGCATTTTATCCAGACAGCATGATTCAACATTTCTGGAAGTAACCAACTCAGTATTACTCAGTCAAACTCTTTGGGAATGCAGGATTTTGTGGGAAATGGTTACTTTGGCAGGAAAATATTGGTCCGATGCCTCCCCCTGCCCCCCAGAGTGCGGTGGCTCTCCATCAGAGAGGGGCCAGCTGAGGACCTTGGGCTTCAGCTGAGGATCTTCACTTCCTCTCATATCCTTCCCAGGTCGTGTTCCCAGAATTAAGTGTTTGCAGTATTGGTGTGTGCAATTTTCCCCTAGACTGTATTTGCAAATCCAGTACATAATGGGATTGAAAAAAATAGATTGTTTCCCCTAAGGGAAAGTGACTTTGAGCAGGGACACTCTTTAAATTTAATACTCTCTTTTAGTTATAATTCAGGTTTTTTTAATGTATTCATGCTAGTCACTTTTAATTATGCTAATTTTGAGCTCATGGTCCATTAGCAAGGGTAATTTCACCCCTCCAGTGCCGGCAGAGGTCGGGTTTCTGGGGGATTGCTCTGTGCTGTGGGAGAGATGAATCCTTCATCTCATTTTCTCCTTGGCCACAAGTGTGGGAGGATGTTGTGGGCTCGGTGCAAACCCTTCCTGACCCCTTTCTCACGCCATTTTCAGAAGCTGAGAGCCCCGTAGCCCGTCTCCCCTAACCCTGCCTGGCTGCAGCCCCCAGCCCCAGGGAGGTACCCCAATCCCCAGCCCTGGACCCCTCCCCCCAGAGCTGGTCACTAGATGTCCCCCTTGACCAGCTTTTTGCAGACATCCTACTCCAGCTCGACGGGTGTTGGGTGCTCCCAGCTCCTGCTCCACCTGCTTGCAGTGGAGCCACGCTGCTGGACATGAGTAAGGACTGGGTATTTGTGTGTCCCCCCACTGGTGACCAGCACTGACATCCACCTAGCAGGCAGCTGGCACTGTGTCCCACTGCGGGAAGAGCCCCATCAATGCTAGGACTTTCATGGAGACAGCCTAGCCCATCTGGGCAAGTATGCATGGCTATTAGCTCCCTTGGCCATGAGTGTCCCCAGTTATACCAGGGGCACCAAGGAACAAGGTTGGTGGCACAAGCCCCCACCTTACACTGGTCCAACCCCATTTGGCCCAGCGTTTCGCAACAGAAAGACAAAGCTTTGTTGGAGAGATCCTGAGGGTCTC